CTACTGTGAAACATTTCTACTTGGATATAATAAGAACGTCAAAACAAATATGCCCCCACACTGACCGCCTTCTAACATCCACCAAAGCAAGTTCTCTCACAGTCTCCTCCTGAATTAGTGAAGATTCTGTCCTTCCAATTGCTCGGTCTTCAAACTGAATAATCCACTACTTTTAAAAAGTTTCCCATTGCCTGTCTAACCCATCAGAAAATTCTATTCACCTATTTTTGTACATATAGAGAATCTGACCACTTTTTCCACCACCACTGTTTCTTTCCTGGTCCAAGTCGTGTTCTCTTTTCTGGATTACTACAGAGGCTTCCTAACCAGACACCTTGCATCAGTCCTTGCTCCCTTTTTGTCAATTCTTCATACATGGGTCATAGTGAACCTATTAAAGCATGTCAAATAATGTTGCTCCAAAGCCATATCATGTAAGTCATAATGGCCAAAGTATTTCTAATGGCCTAAAAAGTTCTACACAATTTGGCTTCATCTTACCTACTTGAAGTCAACTCTTAGTTTACTTTTTAAGACCTACTCTATTCTGGCATTATTGACTTTGTTGTTCTTCCTGGAACTCATAAAGTGTATTCCCCATTTATCCTTTGTACTTTCTGCAGTGTTCTTTGTCCAGCATCTGGAATAATGCCTGGCACATTATACTCATTCATAAGCTGTTAAATTTATTAAAAAATGTTGAATGAATTAATAGATAAATAATGAATTCATTAAGCAATGGATTGGTATGAGGTCGTGGAGTTAAAAAGAAAATCCTCTTTCATTTGGGTTACATAAAAGGCAAATTCCCTCGCTAAGTTTAAATGCTAGAGTAGGAATTAGTACAGTGCGCTATGTGAAAAAACAAACCTCATTTAGTCTTTTGGTAAGGAAAGTGTTCTCAGAAGACATAATATTTAAACAGACGCCCAAAGATTGATTACGAATTGCTTCAGTAGAGAGAGCAGGTAAAAGGGAGTATAGTCTTCAGGGGAATTATAGCCATACATTCGGTTTCACACAGTGAAGAGTGTGAAGGACAAAGTATTTACAAATGGAGGAGTGAATAGGAACCTGGTTGTTAAAGGCCTTAACTTCCTCTGTGGATAAAATATAGAAACAGTGAAGAGTATTGAGCAAAGGAGTTACACGATTATACCATTTTTAAAGATAATAACGGATCTAATATGGAGAATGAACTGGACATGGCAAACCTGAAGTCAGGAACACTGGATAAAATTTTATTGCTACAATATAGATAAAAGATAAAGGTGGACTAAACTAAAGCAAAGGGCAAGGCAATGGAAGACACGACTGAGCTATGCTAACTCATGCCAAATCTAAATCTCTGCTCCATGCAGCTATAAGAATTTGGAAGGACAAACACACTCACAAACTGTGGCCTGCAGTACCACCTGGCATCTGTACTGCATGGAATTTAAGAACAGCTGCTGCTAAGCATGTACAAATTAAATTTGTGTAAACTCTTTGCACAAAACACCATCAACCTCCAAGAATTGTCTTCAGGCACATAGAAAAGTGTGATGTCTTACACACAATACAGCTGTATTTAGGATGCTCATTCATTCATTCCCTTATTCACAAATATTTATTGTATAATGATAAGTAGCAGGTGCCATTCTAAGAACTGTAGATATAGCATTCAATAGATACAACCCCTGCCCTCACCGAGATTATATTCCAGTGAAGAGAAATCAAAATAAACAGATGTCTAAAATAGTGTGTCAGATGATGATAGTTGCTATGGAGAAAAATAAGGGAGGAAAAGAGGAAATGTCAGGGGAGGGACAAAGTTTATAACTGGAAAAAAGGAGAGTAAATTACTGCACTGATAAACCTTCAAGCAAGATTTGAATGAGATGAGGAATCAAGACCGGCAGCTACCTGATTCTTAGAACAGAGAAAAAACTTTCACCCAACCATGATATTTTAAATTCAAAATATGTAAGCGGTTCAAAGGCATTCTTTGTTTTAATAGTGCAAAGTATATTTTTACCTGGCAAGCAGGTTGGTGCTACAGCTGACCCCAGATAAACTGACTTAATTTACCCTCAGAAGCGCCTGGGTTCTCACAGATTCTTAAAGACAGATAAAGGTCGGGCTGTGAACCAGGTTCTTCCCTAGAAGCTGCTAAGTCACCCCTTTGAGATGACATATGAGAGCATCTCTCAGGCACAGCTGGCATGTTCACAGTCCTTTATCTAGCCAAGATCAGCTGTGGCTTCATTTGGAAATCATTATGCTTCAAAATTAAAAAAAAAGAAGTATGTTGAATAAATGTATGTACTACCATGTTTATTGCAGTATTATTTAAAGGAATCACCCCAGTTGTCCATGAGTGGATGAATGAATAACAAAGATGTCGTATATATACATAATGGAATATTCGTCAACCTTTTAAAAGAAGAAGATCCTCTCATTTGTGACAGCATGGATAAACCTGGAGGACATTGTTGTCTTAAGTGAAATAAGCCAGGTGCAGAAAAACAAATACCCACTGATTTCACTTAGAGTATAAAAAGGTCAAACTCTACAGAAACAGGAATAAAATGGTTACCAGTGCTGTACTGTGAAAGCAATAGGGAGACGGTGGTCAGGGCACAAAACACACGCACACACACGAAACAACAGCAGCAATCAGAAGAAAAAAGTTGCATTTTTTTCATTTTTTCTTTATAAATATATACAAATAAATAAAGTAGTTTTAAGTAAAACAGGAAAAAGTATAGAATTAAAATAAAATTCACTTGTTTTCCATCTAGAGATAAACAAGTTTGTGTCTTAGGCTTCTACATTCCAGATAGCCCTTAATTGCATGGAAGGGGGATGCATACCCTGAATTAAATAGGACATCTTCCTTTTCTGTTTTAACACTGTATGGATATAACACTCAGTTGCCTCTAGAATGTCATATTCTTTCAAAGGCTACACACTGCTTTTTGGGGTATGCTACCAGACAAAGGCTGGCATGTTCTATTACCAGATACTCTCTGCTGATGTATTTGTTACCACATTGATATATTTGTTTCTAGAACATGTAGTGACACCGTTTTATTAGAGGTGACTTTTACTTGAGCCATTATGAATAGCACATTTATTTGAAGAAGGAAACCTGTTGGAGAAATCTAACATACATTCAACAAATAGTAAGACAACTGTTTTTTTTTTTTTTTTACTCATCACTTCATTGAGAAAGTTGCTTAACATCTCTGAGCAGCAGGTTCTTTGTTTGTGACATCTGTAGTATCCACCTTTCTGTATCTCAATTTGTTAGTAAGAAAGATGACATGTGAAAATATCTTGTAACTGTCAAATGTCATGCAAATGTAAGGGTATTATTAGTAATTAAGGTAGTCCTCTAGTGTTTCAAATCTCCTATTTGAAACTCAACTCTCAATGCTTGCATCTTCCAACTACAGGAATTCAAACGGACCCAAAGCACTAACATTAAACTACAGTGCCCCCTAGCCCGTGTAGGAGGTCAGGGCAGCTGACAGGCTTCATGAATAAGCTCTACCACAGATGGTTCTTTTGCCTGAGGGAAGGGCTATTAATTGTTCTTTTGGACAACTTCCACTTGTCCAAAAGGAAAAAAAAAAAAAAAATTTAGGCATTTTCTTCAATACTTGTCTGTAAGATTGTTTTTATTTTAATTTTAAAAAGGGAGTAAAAAAGTAAACATTCTCTATGATTTAGATTTTTATCTGAGTTGCTTTAAATTAAGAGTATTTCTAAAAGAACAGCACTAGATTTATCTTTAGAGTCACTGTGATTTTTCTGATTTATATTTGATTATCTATTTTCATTCACCAAATTCTTTATAATCTAGTATGAGAGGATATTGGTCTTTGCACTCTTTTCACAGAGGTAGGATGTGCAGTTAAGCTTTTATGCAAGACTGTACAGAAAGCTGTTATGAGCTTCAGCCCTCTAGTTTCTATAAACATTAAATCTGCCAAGAGATGTAGAATTGTGTAAGGAAACACCATATAATATTTTAATATCAAAATGTAGAAATATTTGCTATCCTAGTTTTATAAAAGCCCACATTAAAAATATATCAATTGCTTTCTTCCATAAACTACAGTTCTTTGTTTATCTTTAGTTCTTAATTTCATAAATTTTTACAGATATGCATAAGTTCAAATATTCCAGTATGTAAATTGGGTCCCAAAATGATGAATCCTTAGGAAAATGAACTTTCTGTATGAGTTTATTTTTCCATGCTGTGCATTTAAGTATTAATCAGCACAGCTTTCAGGGATTTCTTTCTAATATCCTTTTCTATGTAAGATAAGGACTGCAATTCATTATACCATTGGAGGAGCCAGAGGCTTTGCTAAAGCTTTGCCTTTCTTGACTGTTCAACTCAAATTTAATGGGAGCGTGTGTGTGTGTGTGTGTGTGTGTGTGTGTGTGTGTGTGTGCGCCTATATTGGTGGCTGGACTTGAATTATGACACAATGTTGGTTGCCTTTCAGGCTAATCGTCTCTCCTTTTCAGGAGGTCAAAGATCATTTCAGCCTCAGTGTGCTTTCTAACTACCTAGTAAGGGAGGTAGCAAATTTGGTCCTGGGCAACTGACAGGTGACTTTTACCACCAGTTATTTTTCTTGACATCTTTCCATCAGCACAGCTCAGAGAACACTCAAGAAATAAAAAATTACTCTTCACCAACTACTAGCTTTCTGGGATCTGATCGCTTCTAAGTGTAAACCTCTATTACCCTAGCAATGGTCCCTTGCGTTCCTTTTATTCCTCTTGTATATGAACGCAAAAAATATAACAGCAAACCCTCAAACCTACAACAGAGAGAAGGCAAGCACGGCACCAACCCTCTTCGTACTGCCTTTTTAACTTGGCAGGGGAGCTTAAATTTTGGAGAGAATGGTGGCATTCATAGGAGGGGCGGGGTAAAAGTGTTGTCTAATTACACGTTAATGGCAGAACTCGCCTTAACCACGTCCCTCCGGCACAGCGGTGAATTTCTCCTGCGTGCTCCTGTGCGGATCCCGAGACCCTTCTCGCTTTAAGAGAGCCTCCGGCGCCCCTCACTCCGCCCCTTCCCAAGTCTCTGGGCTCGTCAAAGCTTCCCGAGAGCCATGGTTGGTCCAGGCAGGCAATCGGAGCACCTCCTGGAGCGGCTGCTCACCCAGGGTGGGGTGGGGTGGGGTGGAGTGGAGGGGTCTGTTTGTAGTACTCTCAGTCCTGATGTCACAGGCGCGGCAAGGACATCGCAAGGAGGAGTCGGATTACAGTAAGGATGGGCAGTGCAGCAGGCAGCCTGAGCGCACTCTCCAGCCGCCGGGGATCGTAGCCCTGGAACGGCAGCCTGCGAGGCGCTCATCCCGCGGAGGAGGCACACTCTCGGCGCCCACTGCTCTCCACGCCGGGAACGTTTCCACCGAGTGTAGCATGAAACGGCCCTGCTCTGCGTGCCAGCCTGGGGTGAGAGCTGATGCTGAAGACACCGCGGTGGGGTTCCAGCTGTCTGATTAATGAGAAACATAATGTATTTTGGTGAGTGTGGCTCTGATGATGTAATTCTGGGGGTGTCCGGCTCTTCATCAGTGCAGACAAGCACTGAAAAAAATTCCTTAAGCTGCAAGAATATATTACATTAAACCTACCTCCAGTTGGCAACTGGAGGACCAAAGCGCTGCAGCCTTCAAAGCTTCCTTTGTGCCACAGTTGGGGCTGTTAATTTAGCCCTGGATGAGTTTAAGTTGGAAAAGAAAAGACACGGGGACGTGTGTAGGGGGGTAAACTTTGCCTTGATTTGCCCGAATGAAGTTGGCTGTTGCGGCTAGGTGAAGGAGAAATGGTGCAGCGTGGGAAGTCATGAGCTAACTTAATGGAATGTGAAACAAAGTTCCTATAGTATTGATGCTGTGAAAGCTTAGTCAATATGAGCATTTCATTCAGCATTAGCTGTTTTTTCTTGTTCTGAGGCGGAGAAGGAAAACAATCTCTAGTGAGCAGTGCTTGAACAGCTGAGAACACTCCTCTATACCATCTCAGTGTACCGTCTAGCTTGGAGCAGCCCAGCACAAAATGCATATCATTTTAAACCTTTAGAGGTCTCGGAGCTGTCAAATATTTGTGCGGTTTAGTTTTGTGCCGCGGTAGAAACCTCCGTTAGGTTTTCAGTTGAGCTGCCTGCATTTCCAGAAAGCATGTTGAGGCTTAGAGCTGAGCTATCAGTTGAGCTCTAGAAGTGGGCTTGGAGCTGTGCATTTGCACTCTTAACCCTGCAACTTACTGCTAGTAGAGGAGGCAAACCCCTTCACTAAATAAGAAGAAGCCAAAGATAAGGACTGAATATTCGCTCTTCCTCTCTGAAGTTATGCTTTCCTTCTGTAAGTCCCATCTGACATGATCATTTAAGGACATCTATGTGATATTAAAAGGTTTGATAGGGCAATTGGAGAGGGACTAGGAAATGTATCTAAGATGCAAATGCTTGATTTCTTGGTTTGCTTTAAGTATTAAATACAGAGTCTTCTTTCAGATTAAAGAGGCATTTAGATAAACTTAACGTTGGGGCACTGTTGGGCATTTATTTCTGTGTGTACTATTTGCTCTGTTTTGTTTTCTTCAGCCTTTGAGACATTTTAGTGAGTGTGGAAGGAACTTAAGTTCCAAAAGCTAAATGCCTTTAGTTGTCTTGACAGTTTTGATTTCCCTATAATTTGTGTCATATTAAAAAAGAAGTCTTAAAGTAACTGAAATTGATTTGGAAGAAACAGTCCTCATTGCATTGCCAAATATAAGCAGGATCTATAGTTAAAAACCACCTCTTTCCAGTGGGTAGCGATGGAGGTGGTAAGCTTGTTTATTGGGCACTAATAAAACAGAGTTTATCATGCATATATATTTCATAAATGGAAAAGCTTGTAAAGATAATAGGTCTTTTGGACAAGATAAAATTTCAGCATCAATAATGATACTGAAGGATGATGAAATAGATTATAATCTTCGTTTACATTTTTACCCTCTGCAACAATTCCTTATGTGATTGTCATGAGAGAGTAGGGCCAAGTAGGATAGCAGTAGGGTCTGAAAGTACTGGTCAAAGGCCATCCATGCTGTGCTGGACTATCGTGTGACTATTGGAGTAATGTTCGCTGGGCTAGCTCGTGTTATTAACTGTATGCTAGTTCAGCCTCTTGTAAAGCAGAGTGATTCACAGGGTAATTAGTTTCATTGTGTAATGCAAGTTTTTAATAGTACAAATTGAAATGCGATGGCCTACTTACTTCAGATGGAACTCTACTCTTAGAAAGGCAAGGCTAAAGTTGCCCTCTGTGTCTTGAACATTGTCTTACCATAATTTCAGTATGAGAAATGTTTTTCTATTCCCAGAGGAAAGCCTGTGTATTCAGGAATGCCGTTTCTTTCAGGTTATGCTATGCAGCTTCTCATTCAAGCTGTTAGGTATCCAGAACTTTGGGAGCCCACCTGTCTCTAACATAAAAATGTGTGGTACAAGAGCAAGGGAAAAAAAAATTGAGCAGTATACTTCAGGCATGTGAAAATTCAATAGCATCCTAATGTTTGAAAATCCTGAAGACTGTGTATATATGTATGTACATACACATATATGTGTACATGTGTATGTATCTTAATGTGGGTGTGTGTGTGCGTGTGTTCAAAATTGCAGCAATTTCAGGTAATTCTTCAAAAGAATGCTTTCACTTTGCAAATTGGTTGGCCATTACTTTCTTCTTCATTTTTCAACGGCAAATGGTTTATCAAGTCAGAGACAACAGGGACAAAGGGAAAGCGATGCTGCATTCTTAGGCTTTTCTGGTGATTTGTGGGAATGGGTTAGAGGTGTCAGAAGTCTTTTATCTGTGTCCCCAGCAGAGCGTGATGAAGAGCATGGTGATACTATGGTATGGGGTGAGTTGATATGAAAGCAGGATATTTACTTCATTTATAAATTATCTGATTTGTCAGTGTTGCCCCCACACACACACACATACACCCCTTCAAATATAGCTGAAGAATCACTGCCTGAATAGCCTGGCTTAGCCTATCTGCTTCACTTCACGCCTCCTTCCCCTTGGGGACTGGACAACTGGACCCTGTCCTAGCTTGGCTAGAGTCAGTTGTGTGTGTGCAAGTTGGTAGAATATGTAATATTTTCATATATCAAAAACAGCTTATGTTTGAAGTGTGCTGTCTCAGACTTACCAGACTAATGGACCTTTTCAGTGACTTAAGCCTCACTCTTATCTCCTATTGAGATTTTAGTGCAGTGTTTTCAATAATTGTTCATTCGTACTTCCTGCGCCGTGATTTACGTGTTTGCTATTCAGTCACCGTGGATACTTTTGTTACTTACTCTGTGGATCTTAGATCTTGCATTCACTATTTGGAGTTACATATAAGGTTCACATGGGAGAAGGAAGCAGGGAAAATCTCAGTCAGCAAGCTGAGTGGATTTACTGTAAAAGCAAGGGAAAATAATAAATACTTGTGAATTTACCTCCCACCCCCATCAATATTTTAGATAGTTAAAAATTACGTGTGCCAAAGATGAATAGCCATTAATAATTTATCTAGAAATAAAAGCAAGGCAGCCAGGAGTCCTCTCCCTAGATTAAGGAAGAGAGGCTGTGGGTGGTTGTCAGTACAATGGACTGAGCTGTCCAGTTACAATTTGGTTAAGAGGACTGTGCTGGTATGAAGGGCAGGTTCTTTGCTTGAGTGCACTCCAGCAATTGCTCAGCGCCTGGCAGAAGGTTGTAACTGTGCACTGTCTCCAGCTCTAAGCACCGTATGTTTGAATCATCCCTCCATTCCCATCTGGCCTGACACATTTCTCCACTGCTGGATAGGTGAGTCGTTGCCAGTGGTCATGTCAACCACATGGATTCCCCATGGCTGGCCAGAGAGATGCCATGTCTCACCCTTTGCCTTTGGGAGAGAAAATTGGGAGGGTGGTTGTGCTGAAGAAATTCTGTGTGGCTGCAAATCAGTAAGCTTTCAGTTCTGAGTCAAGCAGATAGAGACTGTGGTAGGCTTATAGCCAAGAAGGGGCTGGGGCTTGCTCCCATGAGAATACTCCTAAAATAATCAAATGATACACCTTAAACAGAACTGAGAGGCAAAAATTAGAGCTCTCCCTAAATGGTACTATTAATGGCATATTAATTAAACCTAGGAAAAAGGGCAGGCAAAATTTAGAAAGTGTGAATGAACCATTCAAGTTCACCTTGGTGTTAGTTGTGGATTAACTGTCTTTGTTAAAATGCCTAAGAAAAATAGTAAAAACATTTGGTTCCATGCCTGTAATAATAATAATAAGAATAAATACTTCACTGAGGGAGCTTTTAATACAACAGCTAAAAAAAAAAATCTAGTAGGAAAATTCTAGGACAGAACCCTCTTCCCCTGCCTATAATAGACACACTTGCACATTGTCTTAGGAAGGACTTTTGCTTTCCCCTGGGATGTTTAGAACATTCTAAAGTCAGCACTTACACTTTTGGTTGTAGCTGGACCATCAAGTTCACCTTCAAACGAGTGTGTTAGAAAAACATTTAAATGGCAAGGTTATGAGGAAGGAAATGATCAGAAAGCAGCAGGCAGCAGAGAAAAACATTCCTCTTTTTTAGTGTTTTCAGTAGAAACATTTAACTCCTTCTAATTAGTTTGTACTGAGTGATCTGTTATGGGGAATTAAGTCCACTAGAGTATTTCTAAACACTCAGCCAGTGTTTCTATCTTGCTGAAGCTGACAGGGGAGAGAATAATTCAGGAAGGAACTTCTATGTCTAAAGTCTCCCTTTCAAAGCCTGAAGTCTTACCATTGTGTCTTACTACAAATAAATCTAAATTACATGCAATAAATTATTACAAAAAAGGCTGGAGAATGTAACAGGTGAATACTATCAGGAAGGGTCATGCTTAAGAGCCTGAAATCAAAGATAATTTCAAAAGCCATACAGATTTCTTCCTCAAGACTATTCTCTTTTTAAATTCACATGAAGTTCTTTTTTTAAAAGCCAAATTCCAAATTTGATCAACATGCCAGTAACATGGATTACCACACCCTTAAATTGTAAGCTAATTTTTTTAAAGGACCTCCATAGTTGTTATAATCACATGGAAATGAGATATGTTTATTTAAGGATAAGTTCCAATATTCATGAGATAATGATGACTTGCAAAGTTACACTTTCATGGGTGACATAATTGTTCCAAAAAACAAATGAAAAATTTAAATTAGACGTTTCTGACTTCTATTTCAGAAGATTTGGTCACAGCTGCTTTTGACTGAACACTCCCTTGATAAGACAAGATGTGTTGGTTGGTATGTGTGTGTGTTTAATCCTGGAATGTCAAATAGTGCCTTATTATATAGATACTTAATATTATACTTGATTCATAGCATTTATGTATCCCTGGATCTTTTCACATCATTTACAATTCTATTGACTTAATAAGATGGATATTAAAGTATTTTTTAAGCACAGCTGGCTTTCAAGTTTAGCAACCATTATATACAT